ACATTTGATCGCACCGGAACCTCCTCCGGGTCTCCTATCAAAGTTTCCCTTATGTTTGCCCTTCTCAGCAGGCGTCACATAAGGTCCGCTTCGTACTTGCTGCTTCCCTCTCCTCTCGCTCAAACCTTTATAATGAGTAGAACGAGCTCTACTGTCTTCTTCATAAATTCTACAACACTCAGTCAAATCCGAAAATCTTCGTATCCTTTGATAACCCACCGCTTGCTTTATCTCCGGACGCAAGCCATTCTCATACTTGATACATTTGGAAAATTCCGCCGTAACCGCATCATAGTGAGGGTGAAACTTCACTAACTCAGTAAACTTAGCGGTGTAGTCCACCACCGACATATTACCTTGTTTCAACTCCAGAAATTCCATTTCTCTCTTCCCTTTAACACTTTCGGGATAATACTTCCTTAGAAACTCAGCACGAAATAAATCCCACGTAATCTCCTCGTCGTCGACCTCAAGAACTTGCCTCATGCTGACCCACCAGTCATCGGCCTCTTCTCTCAGCATGTGAGTCCCTAGTCTCACCTTATTCCCTTCAGCATAATCCATCACCCTAAAAATTCTCTCAATTTCCTTTAACCATATCTGAGCACCATCCGGATCAAATCTCCCTTTAAACACCGGTGGTTGGTTCTTCCTGAACTCATCATTCGCATTCACGTTAGGTGCACCCTGCACAGCTCTGGCCATAGCCTCTAACGCCGCTGCCATAGCATTGTCATTACGACCTGCCATATTCTGAGGATTCCCAAAAATAACAACAAGGTTAAACAACCGTTCAACCAACACAACAACAAGACAGACACGACTGACTCAACACTGGCTCTGATACCACTTAATGTAACACCCCCTTTTTATACCCCCAAATAAATTAAATAAATCAATTAGGCACTTAGAAAATTTATTTCATCAGAGTTTAATTAAAACATGGTATAAAAGAGGCGCATCACATTATCATGAAATTAAACACATACGATACCTGCTCAAAATAGATATGCAACAATGGGTAACCCACATCTCAATATTTAGAATAAAGCGGAAACATCCAAATATTGAATCGATCTCATGCATAAAAGTATATACAACCATCAGTTAATTCATGATTTACAACGTATCCACAACAGATACATACACATATGTATCACAAAAGAATCAAAACAAATGTAACTCCAAAAGAGTCAAAGACTTCCTAACTACCCAGATGTTACATATCAGAGCCATTGACCAAAAAGAGTGAAGACATCGCTTCACAAAAGAACCTCCAGCTTCCTACTCTGCAATGCCTCATAGAGCATTATAAAACAGCAGAAGGGTGAGAAACAACATCATAACAGTTAATGCATAAAATTGTATATATACATATACTCATATTGGTACAAGTTATACTCAAATTATGTTCTCACCACATTAAGCATATACAAATAATCATGCCTCTACACATACACATGAACATTCACTATATTTCCTCCAAACAATCACATCTAACATACACAGTTATATTCACACAACCAATGCATCATACACAGATGACTCATGCAACTCATAGAGACCGACACACGACCCTATGCAGATGCAAATGCGGTACCGACTCGTTCAACAAATTCCCTAAGGAATCGAGTATTCAGCAGATCCTCCACGGGATCAAGTACTCAGCAGATTCTCCACGGAATCAAATATTCATCAGATTCTCCACGGAATCGAATATTCAGCAGATCCTCCACGGGATCAAGTACTCAGCAGATTCTCCACGGAATCAAATACTCTAACCAATCCTCCACGGGATTACATGTTATGACCGATTCTCCGAGGAATCACACAATGCAACCGATTCTCCAAGGAATCAAATATAACCATCGTATCATACGAGGTCCTGCAAATCCTCCGAGGGATCAATCGACACAAAAATGCATACTATGCTCACAAACATATTCATTGCATTTATCACATACATCGCATATATCTATCATGCATTCACATTATGCACCATTCCACACATGGTTTACACACATATCAGCCTATCAATGCATTTCTATTCAATTCGAGCAAATACACAAGATTATCAAATATTCAAGATTTATCATTTACTCTACAATCTAGGATTCACGCCTTTCGGCCACCCACAGCACGACATGTCAAAATAGTTCACACATCGATCATTCATATAGGCATTAATCATAATTGAATCAATCAAACATCATGCCATGAACAAACAGCAAAACAAATACCACTGCCAGGTTCGCCAACCTTCGCCTGGCGAAGTCACGCAGCGAATGCTCGCTGGCCTTCGCCTGGCGAACTCCCCAGCGAAGTCCACTGGGAGTAATTCTGGAATTACTCGCTGAGGCTCGCTACCCACTCGCCTGGCGAACCTTCGCCAACTCACCTCGCCTGGCGAACTTGCCAGCGAATACAGGGTATTAGCTTCTGACTTGCTTCGCTACAGCTCGCTGGGCTTCGCCTGGCGAAGCTTCGCTGCCTTTCGCCTGGCGAACTTGCGAAGACAGAACTTCCATGGCTGTCTCAAAGCCCAAACTCCACACAACCAACCGATTAAATCCAAACCAGTCACAGTAGCACAACCCAACCATCACCCGAATAAACTACATCGTCTAATCCGATTTCTAACCGATTAAAACTTCGTTCTACTCACAAAACCAACTTCTAACCTAAGTGGAAAAGAGTAGAACTCTACAAAATCCACACACATACACATACAATCATATACATCAAAGAGATGATGGAGTTTCACACCCTTACCGATCGATTGCAAGCTTTGGTGATGATCCCTTGATGATTCTAGGTTTTCCTCTCCACTTTCTCTTCTCTTTCTCTTCTCCTCTTTTCCTTCTCTTGTTTTTCTTCTTATGTTACTATCTTTCTTCCTTTTCCTCTCTTATTCTATTTCTATCTCTATTTCTTTCCTCTCAAATTCTATCCAACACTTATCAATCAATTCTCACACTAAGGTGCTAAATGTCTAAAATGCCCTTTTTACTCTAATTCCCCGAAAACTCTCCGAATCGGTAAAAATAGATAAAATAAGCAAAACACCACATAGCAATATATAATTTCTCAATTTAAAACAAACATCAATTAAATAAATTAAAAGACTCAACAATTAATGGGAATTCAGAATCGGGGCGTTACAACACACAATGTTGAATTATGTGTAGGTTTTTCCTTTGGATGGGATGTGATGCAATAATGTAAATATGATGATTGCAATAATGTGAATTGCGGCTAAAATAAAAGTGGATAAATAAAGCATACACGGACGCATGAAAGCGCTGAGTGAGTGTGTGAGATGTGGATAAATGAAAGTAGATAAAGTAAAACGTGCATACGCATGAAAGCGCTAAGTGTGTGAATTGTAAATGTGTAAGTGTAGGCATGCACGATTAGATTAAGTTTTACGATGTTGATTGTTTTTAGTTTATTAAATTGTCTTTAGTTGAATTATGTTTTGGCGAGGTTATGATTATTAAAAAAAGAAAATTGTCTATTGGTTTTAATAAAAAGTTAGATTGATGAGTTGATTTTAGGAAAAAAAAGGTTAATTTAATTTTAATAGCAAAAAGGATTTTTTGGATGTGAATTGATTTTAAATAAAATAGGATTTATTAAATAAAGATAGTTTTTTGTAGATATTATCATAAGAGATAGAGGTTAATTTAGAAAAAAATTTATTAATTAGTTTAAATTAAAAGTTGATTATAATAACCCAAAAAAGTTTACTAAGTTTAAATTAATAAAAATAGATTTAATTGGTTTATTTGTTTTTAAAATTAAAATTAATCAGACAGGAAATATCTTAATTAAAAGTGTTTAATTATTTTAATAAAAGATTATATTACTGACTTAGGATTAATTAGGTTTTTAATTATTAAAAAAAGTTAATTAGGAGATTTATGAGGTTAATTAGCGGAGGATGTACGTGGTGTGTGTGTGGTGCACTGTGGTTAGCGTGTGTGTTATAAAGTGATTACAACAAAATACTGATTAAAAATAAAACAAAAGAGAAAGAGAAAGTCCTTGTTCCCAAATCGATCCTCCGTTCCGTCGTTCGCATCTTCTTCAATCTCTCCTCTCCTCTCTCTTGTTTGATCTTCTCCGAATTTCTTCTTTTCTATTTTTTTTCATCACTTCTTCTTCTTCCTTTTGTAAACCTGAAACACAACCAAACAAATCAAAAAATTCAATAAACTCGACGCGAACGGATGGATTACCGTGGACAACGGAGGTTCGAGACGGCAAGGCGATGGTGGTTTGCGGGTTCGGAGATTCGCGGGGCTTGGTGGGTTTCGCCGGCGGTGGTTGAGGGGAAGGATTCCGGCGACGGCTTCTGAAAGGATAAGTTTCTTCCTTCCTTTTGTGCTTTACGAGCTCTAGGGTTTACGATTTTGGGATTTTTCTGTGTGTATGGTGAATTCTGGTTGCAATTTTTTTTGTGTGAATCTTTGTGTAGAAATTTCGTGTGCGGATTTTTTGTGAGTTTGGGGATTTCCTCTGTGGAACTTTTGTGAGTTTTTTGTGAATGGATTTGTGTTTCTGAGAATGGTTATGAAATTGTGTGTTTTTCTCCCCTGTTTTGCCAATTCGGATCCCCTTCTTATAGTCTCTAGTCCATGATTTTCTATTAAACTCCCATAAATTCTTTACCAAATTCGGATGAGCATGTTTAAACCGGTTTTGGAAAGAAAATGAAATCTTAATTCGTTGTCTCTGATATTTTCTGCTCTGAGTTAATTCCTTGAATGCTTTGATTTAATTTTGAATTATGTAATTACCAGGACATTAACCATATAAGCTTAAAAAGGAAATCAGTAATTCTGTTTGGTCTGCTTTCTTTGATTATCTCGTGACAGCAATCTCACGGCATTTCCTTGTTTCCCAGCAGGTGATTCCTTCGTTACAACCACATTGGAGCTGAAGACCCCTTCAACTGAATAAGAGAACGCTGGCAGTCGCTTGACCTTAATGTCTCAATGAGATACGAAATCCTTTCTACGGTGAAACCGGCAGAACTGAAAAGGTATGGAGACTTTCTTCTCTTTACTAGAAAGGGCATACCACTGCTACCAGTATGCATATTTCTCCTTTGTGGATTTTAATTGAGTGTGCCATGTCTTCATGTTTTGGAAAGGTTGGATGATGGGAATTGTCTTATATAATGAGGATAGTTCTCCTGATTCCTTGTTCTTTCAGTGCAGGCTTTTTTGTCAGGACACTCTTCTCGTCGAGAATGCCGAAGTAAACAAGTAAGATTGCTTTGGAAATAATTTAAATAGGTTGATCTTGCCATGACGGAATTTGATGCATTGTTCGATTATGCTTGGACAGGTTCATGCCCTTCTTTCACGCTTTGGATTTAATCGGTCTAAGCATTGTCTTGGGATATGGGAGAACGTGATTTTGACGACTCGTGATGCCAGCTACCGTCACTTATGGTATGTCCAGTACACACCCTTGTCAATTCTTTTACGTGGCTTTCGTTATGCTAACTTGGTAAAATAATGACCGAAGTTATTGTTGAATTTGTTTTGCCTTTATCCTAACTACTGTCCCACTTTGTTACCACAGGATGTGTGACGGAAGGATCACTAATATTTCACGAAGAAATTGACGAGTTTTCTCTAACGAGGTCTGTACCAACATGAGCACCATGAAGTATTGGTTTTCTAAAATTCTGTTGCGTCTCAAGGATGGGCTTCTAGCTGCTGTTTTAACGGTCATGCATTGTTTCCCGGGTTCTCCTTCAATTCCAAGTTAGCTTTGCTTACTTCTAATGTGATGGTGATATAATGTCGACTTGCTTCTCATTTCGGTATAGTTGTTGATGCAGGGGGCTTTACAGCGTGTACTCCAGCTTATGTGAAACGGTCCAAATGATGGCACTACTGACGTGGGGTTCACTTATTAGCGACACAATCGTGCGACTTCTTGAGAGGTTACTTGAGGAAATTGTGAATGTTTTGTTCATTTAGGTTTCAAAATTTCACTTCAGTGGTAACTTTCCATTTCGACTAATTAAACTGAGTACCACTGAGCATCACCATTTCAGTTTGGATAGAATTGGCTGGTTTTAGGATGTGATTCCCTTTGCTGCAGGTGTATGACAGTCCGACATTAGCTGCCTTCACCGATGCAATTTTTCGGAATTATTTGTTGAGCGAGGATGGTCTTAAGCTTCTATAATATTGAGATTCTCTCGGCCGTCCAAGTTTCCCAAATTTGCGAGTAACGAAGTCAACGATGGAAGCTTCAAGTTTCAACAAAATGATTATTATTATGGACCACAGTTTCTTCTTTTCATCGTTAGCGTTTTAGCAATAGTAATGATATTTGTAAACAAACTCTTCCTGTTGTACTTTGGTAGTTGTAAAAATATTAACTTGTACACTCTTTGGCGTTTTATTGAGTTTTGAAACTTCAACCAAAGCCAGTAGAATAAGAGGCGTGGCACTGTAGTTGGATTATAAAGCATGAGCTTCTTAGTTATAAGAATTGTCTCTCTAACTTGAATAAAGCTTCCTTTTTTTGTATGCTCATGAACTAACTTGGTTAATACTATCGTTGATTAATAGTATCACCAACGCTTTCAACAAAGCCAAGGATCATGCTTCTTGCAAGTTTTTTTCAAATTGTCCCTTTGGTTTTAAATTGAACTTGTATCAATTGTACTGAATCATCTATATTGGTCAACTTAATTATTGTGTTTCAAAAGCAATGAAGGCAGTCCCAAAATGGCGGTCTTAGGAGTCACCATGCCGTGTTTTATGCGTGGCATGAATAATTTAGAATAAATGTTGACTTGGAATGCATTGGAAACAAATCACCGCATAATTGTGCCTTTGTTTGAATAATTTCCTTAAGTGAATTTATAGCACCATTTTCTTTATGGGTCCAGGTGGGCTTAAATCCATGGAATCATAAAGTGAGCCTCAACTCTTCATTCACGTAGATTGGCTTTGATTTATGACTATGCCGAGGATGTTGATTTGGACCAAGACATTCTCATTTGGCATGGTCCTTCTGAATAAGAGAATTCTTGATAATCATAACCAGGTTCACAACTCGTGGAAGACACAATTCCCTGAAGAAATTCTTGGATGTAACTTGGAATCATAATCGAGCCTTCACAACAATACTTAAGTATGGCTAACTGAGAGAACCAGTACTTTATCTTCAACACTTATGTACCTGCGAAAACTAGTTAATCGCGATAAGCATAAATATGAAATATAAAGTCAAATAACGCAAGAAGCGCACCACGGGGGGTGGGATCTTATGGTCAAAAATTAGGGTGTGACACCCAGCGCTGGGGTCTCTCTATAAATACCCTCTTCCTCAAGAGGGTCTGGTAATTCACTTCTCACCCATCTTCTGTACTTTGCTCTCACTCTGCCCGACTCCTTACTTTGCCATCAGAGTGTTTTGCAGGTACACCCCCTTCTCCTCCTCATCACCGGTGAACAGGCAGCAGTCCAACAGCGTGTGGCCAGCCCGTGATCCCCTTCTGATCAGGTCAGATCACAAATCAATACTAATTAATCAATTAATTAGGCATTTGAGCATATTGAATAACTAATTAAGACCATGGTCAACTAAACATGTTACCAGTTCTGTTTAAATTAATATTAGACTTGAAAATATATCTACCACCATGCTAAGCATATGTAGGACAAATAATTAAGAATTATAACAAGCGGACCTTTTAATAGGTAACATTTTTCTAATTTTAGACTATAATTAGGGGTAAAAATAGATCTGATCAACTAATAGAGATCTACGATTTAGAGTTTAAGATTAATAGAGATTATATATATTTCTAAATAGGAAATGTCTATATTTTTTTTATAAATTTATTTAATTAAAAAGATTATGTCAAATACCATTAAAAAATGTTTTAATCCTATCATACTAACTTATTTAAATAAATATGAATAACTTTATAATAATTATTATATTATATTTTAAAAAGATCTTATGAAAAATGTCATAAGTTGCTTTAATAAGTTCTCTTAAATAAATAGTATATATTATAAAACTTATGTTAATATGTAAAATTGAATAAATCGATGCAAATAAATATTTAGTCCATTGATATTATAATTTGTTAGTTTATTTAAACATTAATGTAATTGTTTATTTATAAACATTCATATACAATAAACTTTTATATAAGTTGTTCTGGCCTGGGCCCCGGCCTGACCGGGAAGGCCCAACCCACATACACTTGGGGGAATGCCCGAAGGAGCCTTCCTCATCTGTGTCGAACACAAGACTCCCCGTCGACCAGACACTGCCCCGTCGGGAAGAACCTTCCTCATCTGTGTCGAGCACAAGACTCCCCGTCGACTAAACGCTGTCCCCGTCGGGCAGAACCTTCCCTCTGTCGGACAGAACAACGTGCCCTCCACACGTTATCCACGTACCCCCTCCCGGGGACACGTCATCCACCAACTTCCCACCTCCGAAAGAGCAGGTCAACCCAATTTCCGGAGTTCACGGAGCAGTTGAACTAGGGCGAAGACCATGTTCTGGTCTTCACTACGCCACGTAAGCCCTAGCAGTCACGTGGGTTGGGCCTGGCCATCCAGCCCAACCCAAATGACCGTTGGCCCTGCGCTGGAGTCTCTCTATAAATACCCTCTTCTCCAAGAGGGTCAAATATTCTCTTCTTACCCTTTTTTGTATTTACTGTCACTCTGTCCAAACACTTACTTTGTCATCGGAGTGCCTTGCAGGTACACTCCCCATCTCCTTTCCCCAACACCGGTGAGCAGGCAGCAGATTAACGGTGTGTGGCAAGTTCTTGGTCCCCTTCTAATCAGGTCAGATCAGTGGCGCCGTCTGTGGGAACTTAGCTTCCCCGTTCCTCCGAGCAGAGAACCAAAGCTTCATCTCTCAAAACTTCAGGATTAGGACTAGCCCACGCCATGACGACGCTGTTCACAACTCCGACCACGTCCCTATCACCAACGAAGACGGTCAGGTGGGGACATCTCAACTCCGCGAAGAGGGGTAGGACCCTCTCTGCCAACCAGCCAGCCCTTGCCCCTCCTTCGTTGATCAGAAGACCCGTCGGGCAGGACCTTGGCTGCCAACCAGCCAGCCCTTGCCCCTCATTCGTCAGGCAAAAGACCCGTCGGGCAGGACCCAGGCTGCCAACCTTCCAGCCTTTGTCGTCTCCTTCGTCGAGCAGAGCCCTGTCTTCACGGGGCAAGACGGAGCACGGGGCCTACTACCTCAAAAATCTACACGGGGATTAACTAGCTCGACCATGGAACGCCGAAAAGCTGAAAAGGTACTACAGTTAAACACTGCCCGCGATGCCCAAGCGTCGCAACCACAGGGGGGCGACATGGTACCGTTGCACCTCCTCGTGTCTTCTAGAGACCAACAAAACAGCAAGCCCTGCCTTTATGTGCGCGGGCAGAAGACTCTGCTCGAAGGAGAATCCCTCGATCGAGACTCCCCGTCGTTGTACCAGAATCGGCAGGACACCCAGCTCGCGATGGGACGTTCACGTCGCGGGGATAAACTACCCCCGAAACGGCCAGGTAACGAAACCGGTCAACCGACCAGTTCTCCACACTACCGGAAACAATTATCGTCGAGCTACCACCCCGGACAGGCCCAAAGGCATAACGAACATGCATTTCAAACATACAAACATATATTTCGAGCATACAAAAGTGCAGAAATAAAACGAGCATAACACCATGCAAAAACAAGACAAAGCGCACACTTAAACAAAATTCCACAATACGGGCACAAGCCCAGAAGTCAAAATGTTATAATAAATGGGCACAACCCCCAACTGTCGAGCAGGACCTTGGCTGCTAACTAGCCAGCCCCTGCCCTCTCCTTCATCGAGCAAGACCTTGGCTGCCAATCAGCCAGCCTTTGTCCCGTCCTTCGTCGAGCAGAAGCTCTATCGAGCAGGACCTTGGCTGCCAACCAGCCAACCTTTGTCCTCTCCTTCGTCGGGCAGGACCTTGGCTACCAACCAGCTAACCTTTGTCCTCTCCTTCGTCGAGCAGAAGCTCTGTCGAGCAGGACCTTGGCTGTCAACCAGCCAACCTTTATCCTCTCCTTCGTCGAGCAGGACCTTGGCTGCCAACCAGCCAACCTTTATCCTCTCCTTCGTCGAGCAGAAGCTCTGTCGAGCAGGACCTTGGCTGCCAACCAGCCAACCTTTATCCTCTCCTTCGTCGAGGAGGACCTTGGTTGCCAACTAGTCAGCCTTTGTCCTCTCCTTCGTCTAGCAGGACCTTGGCTGTAACCAGCCAACCATTATTCTCTCCTTCGTCGAGGAGGACCTTGGCTGCCAACTAGTCATCCTTTGTCCTCTCCTTCGTCGAGCAGGACCTTGGCTACCAACCAGCCAGCCTTTGTCCTCTCCTTTGTCCTCCCCTTTGTCGAGCAGAAGCTCTGTCGAGCAGGACCTTGGCTGCCAACCAGCCAGCCCTTGCCCTCTCCTTCGTCAGGCAGGACCCCCATCCTCTTCCAGACCTCTGACAGACAGCTCGCAGATCGACACCGCGTGGCAGGTCAGTGATTCCCTTCTGGTCAGATCAGTGGCGCCGTTGGAGCCGCCTCCTCGTCGTGGACGACCGT